AACTCTGACAGGTGAGTCTCTTAAACCACAAGATTTTCCTTTTTTCTCCGGAGTTTCCTATCCTTGTGGCTTTGCAAAAGACGCAAAAAGTCACATTATGGAAATTTTCCCCACCTTGTTTGTCAGAGCATATTTAATCATCACTTAAGTGCTAACCACAAAACTTTCACCCTCACATCACACTTTTTTTTTTTGCTTCTGTGACACTATATCATTTAAAATACTTTGATTAACTCCAAAAATAACAGCAGGTAATACGACTGGAACATCTATTTTACTCGTCAACTTGCAAAAAAGAAAAAACTGTTTCTTTCTGGGATTCAAACTGTAAAATAAATTGCATATGACTTTATCTAAACATCTGCAGGAAATGCAAGAAGTCAGCTGTGGGTTTGTAGTCAGCCTCTCGATCGTAGCTCTACCTGATGAGAGCAAACAGTAACCACATTAAAGCACACAAAGTCATAACGTTGTTTTAAAAAAAAAAAGCCATGAATCATTTTAAAAATCTACGCTGCTTGAAGTTTTAGCCTTGAAAACATCAAAGTTGCCAAATTTCAAAACTAAATCTGACAGATTTGGAGAACCTGCTTAAATCGAATCGATTTTCCTTCAATGTTTTCCTTTGAGGAGATTTGTTTCAATTTAAGCTAAATTATACTGGATCTGCAGCTCATCAAAAATTAGAAGTTATCTATCTCATTCTTTTTTTAACATCCTAAACACCTGTCATTTTGACAGGGGGAACAGATCTACAGCTGTTTTCATAAACTGACCTGTTTATGATGATGGGGTTTTTCCACTCGTCAAAGAGGCAGAATTGTGGTTTTCAAAGCCCGGGTGAGAGGCCACGATCTTTGGGTTTCTAAAAGGAAGTGAGTTCATAATAAATTCTCAGGAGAAAGTCGGTCTGATCATTGCAATCATTGCAGCAACTAAACACCAAAGCTCAATGGATCACTTTGATTTGGATGCTCTGGAGAGGTAAGCAGAATATTTTATATAAAACTTGTCACCTGCATTTATCAACACAAAAAGAGGCTATAATGTAGATGAAATAAATTAAATGTAAATTATTTTTTTTTTAATTAAATCGAAAAGTTAAAAAAAACAGAAAAGCTATAGGATAGGATACAAAACTTTAAGCATACCTAACATTATAAGAAACAATGAAAAGTCATCAAGATAAGGTTCTTTTTTTTTGTCCTGTCTGGCAATGTGGCAATAAGAATAATTGTCTTGATGCCAAAAAGAGCCCAACAGATTTTACTTTCTCAAGCGGCCATAGTTATATGCTGGATCTATGCATATAAATAGCTTTATTATAATTCATGCAGGGAGTTTTACAGATTATACGGACACTGCAATGTAAGTAGAGAAAGAAATAAAAAACAGGAAAAAAAGGAGAAAAGATTAAAGAAAGAGGAGATAAAAGAGGAGATAACGAAAAAACGTCTTCAGTCTGCTTCATCACTTGCAAAGAGATGAAAAATACAATTAGGTAACACCTTGATACTGTCACTGAAGTATAATTAGTATAGTATATAAGATTAGGTTCTTAAAATTTAAAAATAAATAAAACAAAAATATATTTTTTTAAATTTGAAGTTAGCACAGAAATCTTACTTAAAAGATGAAAAGTACGTCTTCCTTTTAAATACATTGGAAACAGAGCCTCTCCTGCCTTTTTGTGTCTTAGAAAAATAAATGAGTTCAATTTAGGCTGCTCAGTGGACCAGTGGTTAGCACTGCCGCCAGAAGGTTCTGGGTTTGATTCCCAGATGAAGCTACTATGATGAGAAAATGCAGAGAGAACACATAGTTATAGATTAAACCTAACAAATACTGCAGAATGGGAGAATAGAGATAGAATGAAGCAGAATGAGGAAAAGTGGTCCCTATGTCCTCCAGCATCCTAAGCCTATAGCAGCATTAACTATAGAGATATACATTGTAACTCTAAGCTTTGTCAAATCTAAAAGTTTTAAATGTAGACAGATATCTGCCTAAAGGACAGAGACACCAGCAGTGTGACGGGGAATGGATGGATTCAATTTAAATTAAAGTTCACATTTCAGCACTTGTTTTGCTTCTCTGGTTTTCATCTGAAAGTATTGGTTATAGTTGGTTACCACACTCTAAATGAGGTGGAGGTATTCTGTATTTATGGTAACTACAGTACTGTAACATATTGACCTTATTAGTGAAGTCGGTTTCATTCCCCGAATGCTGCAGGAAACGAATAATCTCTGATCACTGAAGAAATCTGCACTTCTTTGCAGATACTTCAACCTTTTCCTAAAAACCTTGGTCCACTTTATAATAAGACTGAGCGATAAACTTGTTGTTGTGCTGACCTAAGGCAGAATGTATCACTGATTAACATATCTGATGTTTATTTTTTATTTTTTTAGCCTGTCTCAG